CCCCCACTACACACACACACACACACACACACACACACACACACACACACACACACAAGCATCCATAGTGATTCAGAGGTCCTTGTGGCGTTTGTGACCACAGATTTTCTTTTAAGTAATGAAATTCACATCTTCCAGTATATTCCAAATTTCTCTTATTTGTCAATGTCATGGATGATGGTGATGATGAATCTGAAGATGATGGCAAAGGAAAGTTACTGATCCTTAGAACTGCACTGCGGTTCTCCAGCCTATAAAAAACATGGTTTTGATTTACATTTAATGACATTGCCTCTGTTCGTGTGAGGTCTCTTGTACGTGCCTGTCAGTACTCAGAGCTCAGCTAAGAGCGCTAACTTCATCCAAGAGCCTTTGTCCTTGTAGCTCATCCAGTATAGTGTTTCCAATGCTACATTAGGCCCGTTAATTAGTTGTCTACTAAAAAGGGTACATTATAAAACATCATTCATTGCTGGTTGGTTTATTTATTTTTTGGGTTTTAGACAATGAAGCTACCAAGTATTGCCTGTCCACTCCCACAGCCAATTGAACAGATTAAAAAGAAAAATTCCTGGATCAGCCAGTTGATGTAATGAGACTGATTCAGTTGATGCAGGGCCACTGCAAGAGAAGTATTGTTCTCCATCTGAGTCACAGAAGTAGAAATGTCTTGGCATAAAGCAAGGCTGGACTTTCAGACAGCCTCTCATAACAGCCTACAGCTGTCATAATATTGGAATACTTTCAGTTCCTCGAGCCTACACAAGAATGAAAAAATAGAAGGAAACACAAGAGCAGAGGAAAATTACAGAAGTAGAAATGCTTTCCTTTTTACAGACCCTCCCTACAAGCTGATTAGTTCGAACCTGCTAACAACGGATTACAAATAGGCAAAAATATATAAAATACTTCCTAAACAAACACTTTGAAGGGTGAGTTGGAATTATTTGTCCTGTAGGACTACACTTTGGATTTTTTTTGGGCCAACAACAAACCCCACTTTATTGATTTGCACCATGATGTCAAGTGAATTTCTTTTGACAACATACGGACGCTTGAATGCATGTGTTGCTGGGAGTGGGAGGAGATCATGAAGCACTGTAGGTTGGGGCAGTAGTACGCGCACATTACTTGAATGCATCCGTCACACATCCAATGGAATGAAGCTTCTCAACTAAAGACAAAGTGGATTTTGTCCACCCCTGCAAGTTCCTGATAAGAACACTTTAACTGCATCTTCTGCAATCACAGTTGATTCGCAGATGATGATTAATAGCTTCAAGCAGAAATCCATTGACTGTATTAGTTTTTCTAGGGAAAACATCCTGTTGGTGATTGAGTCAACAAAAGGATGTGAGACATAATCACGGCCTGCCTATTTCACCAACCTCGATTGTAAAACACATCATCCCACGCAGGCAACAAGTGTAACATGAGATTCACATTCCACGTTTGATTGTTGATCATCTGTGTAATTAATATGGGCCTCAAAAAAGAAAAGTGCATGTTTCAGACACCTCAACTTGAAGGTATGGAAAGCAATAAATACTTGTAATTGTAGGCTTTCAGAAAGGAGGTAACTCAATACTTAAAGTTCCACATACATGTACGTCACGGAGAAGCAGGTCATATGAGAAAATGCAACGTGTCCGTCTAAATACTTACCAGCGAGACAGAGGATGACGTGCACACACATAGGTTGTCATAGGTCACCTTTGCAGACTTTACATTAATCTCCGGGAGACTTGCTCCAACCATAAACTTTAACCTGACCCTGACCATTACCCCTTAAAAATCCTTGTTGTGGAGGGGACATAGTGGTAGACATAAATGCATATTTATAAACCAGAGACATACTGGTGTTGGAGGTCTTTCTTCTATCTCACCTTCGGCATACCCCTGCTGCATGTGTTCCAGGGTTTTTTTTTTTACTTTGACAACGAGCTAATTTTATCCAGGATCAAGCAGGAACATATTTGGGATGTCCAGGCCTTTTTCCTGTAAAACCAACTTTGTGGGGGGAAAAAAAAAGATGCGGTTCTGCATCTCTACTGTCTTTTGTTGTTTCTGCTGGAGCATTGGACCCACAACCCTAACCCTACCCAGTAAGAGCACAAACTTCCAAGAGGTTTGCCAAGTTTACACGTGATTCATCAGGGGCTATGGCACTATTGTGTATCACAACCAACCCTGAACATGAAATCCATCCTCACCATCACCACTTTGACTGTGTACAAATTTAAATATACTTCTTTTACAATGAAGCATAGTTACTTAAGTTACAGTATATGTCAGAACCAGTCCATGAAGGTGGAAGGCTGACCTCTAGTGTTTAAAAAAAGACGTCAGAGAGCCGACCTGGTGTCAACCTGTCAGCCAGCCAAGAGAAGTGATTCAATGATCCATCTACAGGTACACAATTCTGTGCACCCATACAGACAATGACCCTCTCCCACGCAAGTGTTCACCTATTTCCCTTTTGCTTTAAGGCTTTTAAGGAGTGACTCCTCTTGGAGAGATTGTCAGTTGTTGATGTGGGCCTGCACATGTGTGGTTTTAGGGCGAGCAAGAATACATCAGTTTGTTCTGTGGACATGCCATCATGTGAGTTCAGTCATTTTCCTCCAGGACACACCAGTCTCTAATGGGGAACTTACATGATTTATAGTTGTTTTTCTCTATGTGTGCTTGTCAGTGTAAATACTTGTCTATCTGTTTATAATGCACCAGTAACCGGTTAACATTTATTTTCATATGTACAATATGTAGTTATATCACCTATTCCTTATATATTGCCTTTGCCCCTTTGTTATAAATAGATCAACAGTGAGATGTATGGCACAGCTAATACTGGACCCTAAGCTGAAGTTGACGGATAATTTTAGAATGGGAGTTTCTAAATAAACTGCTGAATTCTATTTTAAGTAAACTGAGGGATTGAGAGAAATGAAACATCAGCTGACAAAGTGGAGGCAGACTCTGTGCCTGAATAAAACAGGCTGCTAATCCCGTAAGCCAATAAATGCAGGACGCAGGACAGAAGTCAAACTTAGTTGCATTAGCTGTCCGAGACGACATTGTGCTGGGGAACATCGACTTTTCCTATTGGCACTGCAGTGATTGCACACATTGGAACAGCTTACTTAAGAGCAGCTTATAATAAGGTGTTGGTGAAGAATGAGGTGTGACTGAGGTGTTTCTTATAAAACCACATTTAAATTCATAAGATTTGTATCTGGACCTGCACCAAATGACCCAATCTCCTAAATCTCCACGAATTATTCTTTGAGGAAGATAATCAAAATTTAGAAAAATCTTGCAATGTTGAAATGAAAACTTGTAGATAACTTTCCAACAGCTCCACCTTGACAACATGAAACTACTGCTATTCTATTGAATACACCAGAAATACTACTGATATCATAAAGGGGCTTATTTTGCATTTTTGAAAAACTTTTATTTATAATATTTTGAGTAGATTGTTTTGCTGATACCAGTTAGATTTTGAATGCTGAACTTCTGTAAGTACCTGTAAAATGTTAGACTCTCAAAAACATTTTTACGTCTTTGCGAACATAATAAACGTCTCAACCTAACTTAAGGAAAATCACAGTTTAAGATGAGAGAGGAGTTTACAGTATGAAAATAATCAAGAGTCACATGATAAAGCATCACTAGACATTTTTCACCCGTAGCTATGGTGGTGATTTGTGCTTTGAAAGGGTCCCAGTCATGTGTTTATTGTCGTGCCTGGAAAATCTTTGAAATTCTAACAAGAGCGTTTTATTTAAAAGTTCATCTTGGGGATATATGGGCTTGTTTTAGTTAACTCTTTATATGCTGTGTATAATCATGAAGTGCAGCACAACAAGTCTTATGCTCTGCTTTTGAATAGACAAGGCTCTTATTGAAAAATAAACTTTTCCCAGCTTTGAAAAAAAGAGGTGTTCTGTTCTCGCTCTGCCTCTCTCTCCTCTCTCTCTCTCTCTCTCTCCCTCTCCCTGTCATTACCTTCCTCTCTCGCTCTTCATTGTGAGTAGCCGGGCCTTTATCAAGAGTAGAGGCTTCTAATTCCTGAGGTGAAATCCTCTTAGGATCTGTGCTCTATTTCTGTTTGGTCTATAGGGTCCTTTTGGAAATCTCCATTAGACACAAGCTCATTGGCTGGAAAAGACACACGCATGCACACAAAAACACACACCATCCAGCAACAGATAGCTCAGTGTCGACCAGAGCAAGGTTAGCTACTCATACGAAGGGACGACTTCACTGTGACTGGGGAGGTAAGAATTATTCATTTCTCTTATTCTCAAACATAAGGTCGTAGAATGATCTAATCATTTTGAACGAAAGTTTCAAAGGAAATAAGATGTTTAATATTGAAATGATGTGACAGAAGATAAGTTAGTCTCTATACGTTTTCACACACATTCAAGTCTGATTCTGGGGGCCATTTTGATTTCCCATGTGTATCATTTAATATTGACACCATGTTATAACATGAAGGATCAAATAAAACGTTTTTGCAGCGTCTGTTACGTTCTTGTTTTAAAGCAAAGGCTCCAGCAAAGAACAAGAACAAGGAATTCTTTCTGTCTGTGCTGAATTTAGTCATGGGTCTGTATCTAACTGAAAGTCAGCTGTTCACTCACGGGCATGAAAAAAATAACAGAGACATTTGTACTTCATTTGCTCATAGTATAAGACTAAGCACAGCACTTGTGGATTTGGGGGTTGTGGAGGTTGTAGAGGTCACAGAGATCATCAGACCAGATCAGCATCGTGACTACACGCAAAAGGGAAGACGACACTAATTGAAACAGGGCTATTTAATCCAATGAGATACTGGCTCGGCATACGAAGCACTAGTTACTGGTCCAGTGACCAAAGATACTGACATTACATATAGAAGATAAATACATTCACATTTAGATCTTCATTCACCTTTTACACCAGTTTTTCCATGCATTAATTACACATAACTTAATCAAACTTTTATCAGTCAATCTTTATTATTATTATTATTATTTGCTGTCTTGCGTATGATTTGGCTATAAACTTTACCAGTAAACAGTAACTGAGGGTTCACAGCAAATTAGATAGATCTCTTGCAGTGCACTAATCCTCTTAGACTGCATTAATTTAATTAGATATCATGGGACTCACTTGGTATCTAGCAACTCTGTCACAGTACAAAGACCTAAATCTGAACCTACGCTATTGTCTGCCTGAGAACAACGGAAATCGGATGTCCAATTCCTTTAACTCATTCTCACTTTTGTCTCACAGGTAGCTAACCAGAAAAAATGTCTGACAGGCTGAATGATTTGGATGCGAATGTGACCCACACAGGTGAGAAGACGCTTTTCTTTCAAATATCTCACAGCAACACAACTGGGTTTCTGTTGTCTGTGCTCGTTGGTCAGATCTTTTATCATATATTGGCCATTCAGGAGTGATTTGTACCTTAAGTCAAAATGTGTTTATGAAAAGATATTTTTATGAGGACAAAAGCACTGTTCACAGAGTAAACAGCTCTGAAGAACCTTAGCAGAGCTGAATACAGATCTAATCTGTTTAACTGATGCTTTAATCTTCTTTTTCTTACGCAACACTGGTTAGTGAACTTCTAAGAAGGTTGAGATGATGCTTTAATCTCCACGTCACAACAGGACACTCAGCTTGAAGTCAAATATACCTCTCTGACCAATGTGTTTCTTAGGAGTAAAGTTTAAGAACATGGTTTTCTGAAACTACAACAAGTAACCGACTACATGTCTTCATGTTTCCCTTTTTTACTTGCCTCAATTAGTCTTTACCATGAATTACCAAATCGTTTGAGATATAAACTAATGATAAAACAAATTTACAAAGTGCTAATTTAGTATTGTATATTAGAAGAATAAGAGTACAATGATGAGGAGCTTATGAAAATAAAAAGGGATGAAAGATTTTTTGGAAATGACTTTCAATTAATAAGCAAATTGATTTTTCTTCTCTATAGGTCCAAAAGGAGTCATCAATGACTGGAGGAGGTTTAAGCTGGAAAGTATGGACCAGGACAACTTGCCACCTGCGAAAAGGGAACTGCTCAGACAGATGTCATCTCCTCACAAGGGAAGAGACGACTCCAGATCAAACATCAACCGCAAGGTAGAGCAAAGATACAGTAGACTTTTACTATGAAGAGGAACAAATACTCTTTGACTGACTTACACTGACAGTGACTTTGTCTGCAGTGTAGTGCTCGTACAGATTCATACAAAAGGAAGGTGACTATTGGTCTTATTCTATTTTTATTTTTTCAGATGAGTGTCCAAGAGTATGAGCTGCTTAAGGAGGAGGATGAAGGCTGTCTAAAGAAATACAGACGGAGGTGCATGCAGGAGATGCACGATAAGCTCAGCTTTGGGCCCAGGTTTGAAGGTGTGCATGACCTGGACAGTGGAGAGGCCTTCCTGGAGGTCATCGAAAAGGAGCATCACACCACAGTGGTGGTTGTCCACATCTACAAAGTCGGGGTCAAAGGTTGTGAGGAGCTCAACAACTGCCTCGACTGCCTGGCCACCGAGTACCCCACTGTGAAGTTCTGCAGGATCGATGCTGTTGAGTCCGGTGCTGCCGAGCGGTTCTCAGATGATGTTTTGCCTACGCTGCTGGTTTACAAGGCGGGAGAACTACTGGGGAACTTCCTGGCCTGCATGCAGCACCTAAACGAGGAGTTCTTCGCCACTGATGTGGAGGCTTTCCTCAACAGCTACGGCCTGTTGCCAGAGAAAGAGATGCCTGGTGCGGAAGATGAAGAGGAAAACAATGTAGAATAAACAATGAGTTTTGGCTGCGGAGGAGGAGGAAAGGAAACTGTCTGGGATAGAGAGCTATGACAGACAAGTTATTATCTCTGCTAGTTTAAAAGACTGTATATAAAAATGAACGACATGACTGTTCCCAAAAAGGGAAGCCAAACCATTTAGATTGCCACCTGGTGGCTGCAGTGCAGGTCAGCAATCTCGCATCCTCCATGTCAGCAGATGGGACAAGGACCAAATTAAAAAGTAAAAGTAAACATGAAATACATTTTTCTCTAAAATGGTTTCTGTAATTTCAGGTTGTTTTTATCACAGACCAACTGGTCAATTAGTCATGAGCGTTTAGCAGCTAGACCTCGTTACCGCGATTCCACCCCTGATGCTATTGCACAGACTCTGGCTCCATATGTGCAAGATGGCAGCGTTCATATTTGGGATATTCTGGCAGAAGTGGAGACGTATCGTTCATCTTCATATACAGTCTATTACTCACTGGTTTTTAGGGCTGTCCTTTAAAGGAGACATTTTACATCAAGTTGGTGCTCTCAAATGTGGGTGTGGATAAGTTGAGGAGGTACAGGTTTTGTTTTTAAAGAAATACAGTATATCACAAATCCCCCTCATCACCCCAAAAAACAAACCAGCTGTAACTATAACAGAGATGTTTTATGTTTTATTTTGTAACGTTAGGAAACATTGCCTGCTGTATTTACTTGTAAAAAATGTTTCATGGACTTTTTTGTAGCGTTTGATTGGATCTGTACACAAGTTATTTACAAATCCAGAATCCGTACAAAGTGACAGTGTACTCATGTGATAGAATGTTTAAACATATGTATACTTAAGGTTTTTGCCAAAGTTTTAAGAAATCAGAGGTTAATAGAACAGGGACTCGTAGGAGTGAAGGAGCCGAAACATCTGGAAACACTTTCTGGAAACACATCTTCCAGCTGTTCGGTCCAACATAACCTACACTAGCTTCCTCAGCCAATGTGGAAAAAAAATATCAATGAGCCTCTGTTATTTTAACATCATCAGAGAGTGAAGAGTTCAATAGACAAATGAAAACATAAGTTTTCTTAGTGTGGTGTGACTCAGCAACAATTCATTGACGCAGCACAACGGTCAATATTGTTGTAAGGATGATTACTATTTAAAACTGTGTACTGGAATATGATGAATCATAGCCTAATATACATGTTGTCCACAATAGAAGAAGAATAAAATTATACAAAACAGATCAGTGTTGCATTGCATTTACTTCATTTACTAGAAGATCTGCTGATTGCTCCAATAAAACCTCAACTTGTCCTTTTATTTCCCCCCATAAGGAGATTATTTTTATTTTCAATATTTTCATTGATTGTTCAGACAACAATTTATGGATCTTGATGAAAAAAAATCAGGCATGTTTAGGGGACTAATATTTATGATAAGAATAAGGATCTGGATCTAGAGTGTTTAGATGTAGTTTCATAAGGGGACTGTTGGGCCTTGGCGAAGGGATACACTCTACACTCTACACTCTACACTCTCAACTAGAATGGCACATTTTAGTTTTTTGCTTAGTTTTTTATGTGAATTAAACCAACAAAATCTCATGTGTTAATCAGATTGAGATCACTTTAACCACATTTTTGTCTATGGGCCTAAACAGGTGTAAAAGCACTCAGTCAATAATTAACACTAAAAGTAAATAGTCTCTACCACTTAATTATCCTCATCTCCCCTTTCACCCCAGTGAGCTGCAGGCCTTCTTGAACCACAACATAAAAGTCAGCTCAGATTTTTTAAGTTAAGACTTGTAGCACTAATCCATAATTTGATATGTCATAAATTAAGTTCTGTAGAAACGGCCAAACACATTACCACACGATCACAAACACCGCTATGGAAATTACTGAGCTATTCAGGTGCTGGTAGGTAGACTTTGTTTTATGTGCCTTATCCTCGATCAACACGCATTATCACCATCATTATCTTCCGATGGTCTCAGATGACGGAGGCCCCACTATCTACATTTCACCATCACCACCAGCATCCAGGTCCAGATGTGGAGATCTTTCACAACACATATGTCTTCATTAGCCTGAATATATGTATGCAATGGAAATAAGGTTCAAAACATTGTATGAATCTCGAGCCTTCAATTGCTTTTATTTTGCATTTCTCTTCTTTCGCCTCTGTGTATTCCAAACACAAACACCAAAACTGCAAACATTCACACATGCAGAGCTTCATACCATCGCAGAGGACTTCCCTCCTCTCTCCTGCTGAAGCAAGCTGTCACATGTTGACTAACCTCAACTGTTGTGGAATAGACTTGACTCCCCTGTGACCCCAGTGGGCTGCAGGCATGCCAAAAATCACAACATAAAAGCTGGTTCAGATTTTAAAGTCAAGACTTGCGGCGCTAATCCACAATTTGATATGTCATGAATTAAATTAATTTCTGTAGAAACGGTCCAAAACAGATTACCACACAAACACAGCCACCGCTACAGGGAACAGATGCTCATCATTGGCTCTTACTAATTCTTACGAAGGTATGTGAACTTTGCCATATTACTTATCAACCTTGTCTTTTTTTTAATAAAGTATTCAATCTCTTGAAAGTATACTGTTTGTTGAAGCCAGTTCTCCTACATGATAAATGTTGTTGTAGCAGCAGCAGTGTTTCCGAAAGGCTCAGTTTTATGGACTTTAAAAGTTTCTTGTTGGAGTAGTGCAAACACCAGGCGAACATGTAGTCTTAATACAGATGTTGGATTGAGTAATTGTACACTTTTCTAGATCCATTGACAAACAGGGTTATAATCATCCTGACTGTTAGATAATATGGGATCACACACACTGTGCCAGCTTTATACCTTTTCAAATGCAACTCTGAACATGTTTTAAGGTGATTACTTAATGGTTTCATATAAATAAGCCCCAATAATTTCTGACATATTGCCTGCAAAGGAGGCTCTTGACTTCTAATTAATCCAAAGTCAAAAGAGAGTGAATTGTGATACACTAACATATTTCTCTAAGGATATACATGTGTTTGTGTTTCCACAGTACCGCATCTGGCATGGCTTGCATAGCCTCTAGCAGGCAACACCTCGTTTTCACACGGTAGCGTGTCTAAGATTTATCAAAACATTTTTCTGAGACCTCCCACAAGAGCCTTTTGAGCAGCAAGAAGTTTTCACGAGGTGCCCAAACACGACCCGTGAGCCCAGCACAATGTGAGAAAGTGACAGCCGGCGTTTTAACCCCTCGCACAGTGCATGCGTGCCACTGCTGGCACACAAAGTTCACACTGACTTAAGAAGCCTCCACATAGGAAAATGCCTCTGAGCTGCAGCCACACATCATGTATATAATGTACATGTGGCATTATTCCAATATTATTCCAGCAGAGACCGTGAGGGTTCAGCAAGTTCAACTGAGGCCACTGAGAAGATTCACAGACAGTATGACTCATCTGTAAACTCAATAATAATAAACAGCTCATAGTTGTATATGTGTATTTTACACAATATTCTGCAGAACTTATTTAAAGATACTGAGCAACAGTTTCTAATTTTGGGGGTGTTTTGAGCTTTTTAACCAGCAAAGCTGCCCCAGAAAATGCAGTGAAGTTGCTTCTTGGAACCGGCCCCAGCTCTTGATCTGACTCATCCCTCTCCTCAAACAAATGTTTACCTCAGTGTTTACCCCTTGTGATGGCCACCTGATCCCACCCCCGCTTCTGACGTTTTGATTCCGCTTTCCTCGTTTACACTGCCGCGCTAATTGGAAAACTTTTGTACTTTATGTGTTTGGACTCTAGGAAAGCTCGGCTGCAATGCTCTAGTTCACCCACACAATCAAAAGTCCACTGAGGTGATGTCATAACATGGCAGTGGAAACCTGTGTTGAGGTGCTATGGCCCCTCTGACCATATTTGGACTGCCGGTGTAAGGGGAGTGGGAGCAATAAGTGTCTGTCAATCTAAATCTAGGTTTATTTTAATCCCTTTGTGTGGATTTTTGTGAGATAATGGGACTCACTATTTTCCGTGATGAAATGATGATGTCAATGTTATTGTTTTAAGTATTTACCCCTTACGAGATTTAACTCGCACGCACGTTGACAAAACAAACTGCTACTGAATGGAAAGACTGGAGATGATGTAACCATGATAAACACAGAGCACCGTTGAGTTATTTGTTAACTCAGTGGTGCTCTGTGTTTATAGTGGTTACATTAACATAGTTGTTAGAGAGGAGGGAAGAAAAGAGAAGCATCAGAAATATGAGGATGAGAACATGCAGAGTAAAATACATATGCACCCCCACTTAACACAAGCCACCCTTGGGTTGGTCTAACTGATGTTTCTCACACTGGGCGGACTTCACAAGGCCTTTGATGAATGGGAGATGCAGAGATGGAAGAAGGGGTGTGTGAATGGATGAAAGCACCTGAATCATTGCACCTTCAAAGATCTTTTGAATTCCCGTGAAACTGAGAGAGACAAATCACTGTTGTATTTGTTCAGTGTTATGGAGGGCTTATAATAGGAAATCACTTGTTAAGTCGAACCACACCTCATCCTCCTAATTCTCTTCAGATTGCTGTGTCCGTGCTCACGGGTTTCACTCCCATGACAAGTGCTGACAACAACGAACATGGGTGACTCACATTAAGAGGTTTGTACGGCAATGTTGCTGTAGGTTACTGTACATTTTGGTATCCAGGCGTGACAGATGAATGTGAAAAAGTATCGCCTGGGGGAGCCTCTGACTTACTTTGTGTACGTGCCATCAGTCTTTTGTGTCCCAGCATCGCCTTGGTTATTAATCAATAAACCTCTGAAGTGATTTTTAAAACTGGTCCAGACAGGGTGTGAATAGCTTCCAGGCACAAGTCACAGGGGTCAGACTTAATACATAACTGAGATCGAAACTAATAAATAAAAGCTAATAAAAACTTAATCCTGGATAAAGCTGCAGTACATTTGAAAGGAAACATGTTGTAACATTTCACACAGTCTGCTGCTACAAGCCATCAACTAAAATGTATATATATATATATATATATATATACATATATATTCGTAACTGACTCATGTAATATCAAATACATTTTTTACAAAATTTCTCTTCCTAATTGATGATGTAAATGTCATTACAAAGCTTTCTCTGCTCTCCTAGTATGTATTAAACCAATATGTATGTCTGGTAGAGAATACAAGAGGCCTTTTAATATATTTCATTCGAGTCTGAAATAAAACTTAAAGACATTTTTGCCTTAACAATGTATGTGTGAATGTAAAACTAGTGTAAATCCCTCATTCCCAGTGATAACACAGAGAACAGGACACGAATAAGAGTGTTACTTAAATAATGAAGTCAGAGCGTCTCCTGCTGGACAAATGTGATAACACCGTTTCTAAATTAACCTAAGCTTCTGTTGTGTTCTATTAAAAATCATGTTGCTGCACTCTGGACAATTCATAAACACGTGCACGTGAAATGAATCTGTAGATAACACCGGATCTCATACACAGCAGGGGCAGCTGGTCACCATTGACACGTGACTGTCAAGCTGGAAAACATCTGAATTAAAATGGTATTATTTATTTATTTCACAGAGTTTTATCTTCGGCTCTCGACAGAAACAACATCATCTGGAATCTTTCACACTTTTGACCAAAAAGCGAAATCCACGTGAAAAACAAACCTCATTTCCCACAATGCCTCGGGAGCCGTGACCAAACACAAATCGCCAACTGCGCATGCTCGCAGTTGTCGGGGAGTAAAAATGGCGGCACTGTTGCTGCAGGAGTTGGGAGATTCGGAGATTTCTAAAATACCAAAACCCCTTCAGAACAAACTCGAGAGGGTTTTGTCCGATCAGCAATATGAGATCGATTCTTTGAAAGCGCAACAGGAGCAGTTTCGCGTCGACAGCGGTGAGTTGTTTCTGGTTATTTTAGCTTGTTAGCGCAGCTCTGCGCTAAAGTGTTCGAGCCACCGTGCAGGCGTGTTGTTGAACAGAGCAAAGTTTAAGTAGAAACTTAGATTTTGAACGCTCCTACACATCAACCCCACATGTTCAGTAGTTTTACACATCTTCTAACGACAGTGTTACACGTTACATTAGCTGCTTTGGCTGCGTTAAACTACAGGTAACCGTAAGCACAACGTGAAGCTAACGAATGCTAACGCTAAGTTCAAAATCTACTGAGAAACGTTAACA